GACTTTGTTTGGGAATATAGGTACTGTGGATGTTTCATGAGCCACTTCACCTGTTATTCTTTTTAGTTTTTATTTTTTTATTAAAGATTATTTTACATGTTAATCCCATGTCTCTCTCCCTGCCCCCTCCCCAACTAACATCTTACATATCCCATACCCTTTCTGCTCCCCAAGGAGCGTGAGGCCTTCCGTAGGGGGTCTTCAAAGTCTGTTATATCTCTTTGGGATAGGGCCTATGTCAACCCTCTTGTGTCTAGGCTCAGAGATTATCCCTTCATGTGGGATGGGTTCCCAAAGTCCATTCCTATGCCAGGGATAATTAATGATTGCACTACAAGGGGTCCCATAGATTTCCAATGTCTCCTCACTGACACCAAATTCAGGGAGTCTTGATCAGTCCCATGCTGTTTTCCCAGCTATCATTCTGGGAAGCAAGAGCTCTTCCTTACCTGTTATTCTTGCTGGTGTGACATGTACATGAGTAAGGGATGTCTTCCTGAGTTTGGGGCTGGAATACAGCCATCTTCCTGTTAATATGAATGGGATTGTACTCTGTTCCCATCCATGTATGTTGGGAATCCTTAATTTGTTTTTTGATTTTACAAAATGTAACAGTCAAGAGGTTGTCTTGAGTATCAGAATAGAATTTGGAACTTTTAGCTTTTGGGGCTATTACAAATTATGATGATAAATGAATTTGGATTAAATCCACAGCTTCCCCTACCTCCACTCATTCAAACCCTGTCTCCAATCTCCATTCCCCCAAATCCACTGCTACTCTGTTTCCCTTCAGAAAAGAGAAGGCTTCCCAGGGATATCACTCTAACACCATGACAAGGTAAAGTAAATCAAGGCACAAACCCTCATACAAGCCTGACCAACGTAACTCAGTAGAAGGAAAATTGTCACTAGAGTAGTCAAAAGAGTCACTACCAGACCTACTGGTAGGAATCCCATAGCAAACCCCTATGATCCTTGCTCAGTTCTTTTTGTGGGCCATGTCCTGTTTTCTGCAACCTGTTGGATACCACAATTTTCACCCCCTTCTTCAAGAGGTTTCCTAGACCTGAAGCTAATGTTTGGGTAGTGATCTCCCCATGTCCTATCAGCAGCAGGGAGAAGCCTCTCTGATGACAATTGGGCTAATCACCAATTTGTGATTATAGCAGAATATACTCATGAATTTTTTCATTGCAATATCTTCATAAATTTTATTTTGTTCTACCATAGTTCTCTAAGACATTCAAGTTCTGACTCCTTGCCTCTTTAGGTACGCTCAGGCATGGTTTTCCTCTCAGACCTAGATCTTCAAGTTTAAACAGTCATTTGTTGGACACTGCTGAAACTCTGATCCACCATTGCACAAGAATATTTTGCTGGCAGGACAAGTGTAGTTCTAAAATTTTGTGGCTGCCTTTGTTTCCCAATCCAATAATGGGATCCTTATGTGGTTACAGAAGATGGCTGCTTCAGCTTCTGTATTCTTCATTACTACGTGTCCTCACTAAGGTCACCCTTACGGGTTCTTGGAAATTCTTGCTGCACTGTTTCCACAAAGCCTGTTAAAGATCCCCATTGCCATCGTCTCTCCCCATCTTCTTACCCTCTGCCCCATCCTTACTCACCTGATATTTTCTGGTCACATCACTACCTGCCATTATTGCCATTATTGCATCCAGAAAATCTAATGAGGATGGCAATGTCCCGAAGAAACTAGCCCTGGAAAAGAGACCTATCTGAGCATCAGAGAGTGACTAGGCAAGAGAGAAAGTCAGGAAACATTATTTGCCCATGGGGTATGCCTTCTATTTTTGGCCCAAGTTTCTATTCCTAAGCTCATAAAAGGATGGAGAATGATCTGACACAGTGAGCCAACTAAACACATTCATTGCCTGAGATGCTTTGGTTAGAAGATTTAATCACAGCAACATAAATGCAACTTAAAAATAATAGAATACCAAAAGTGATTTTCATTGCCAAGTAAAAGCTGGGAATGCTATCTTTTGGAAGAATGTGGAGGATATCAAGACTTTAGGTGGCAAAACATTGAAAGTTGTTCACAGAAGTTAATTTGCCATTCCTGTAGTGCTGGGAAGATGAGGATTTTATAAATAATGGCAGAATGTAAGCGATTGAGATCATGGGATTTCAGTCAGAAATAGACTGCATAAAAATTAAGCAAGAGTTCATTTGTGTGATACTTTGGCTCTAAAATATTTCTTATTCTGCTTATGCCCTGGAAATATATACTAATGCAGAATTAAAAAGATAATGGGCTCATTCCTTAAATGAAATATTTAGTAGTTTAGTATGTTGGATGGTCATTGTTGATGATTCATCGGTAAATCAGGTCTACAATAAGCAAAACAGTGGTGTAGAAATCAGTGAAAAAGAAAAGGTAGTTTTAGATGACAGTCAAGTGCTAAACAGGCAGAAATTTTCAGGGAGTTCATTAGCATTGTAAGAGAAGGTTATTGCTATGTCTTGGAAGCCTATCAAGGTTCCCCAATGGTAAGATGATAGACTGCTAAATCTTCGATTTATGGATGAAGTAAGCAAATTGCTTCCTACTCCTAGGAAGCAACTTCATACTAAATCTGCTACACCTGTGGTCCAAGCTTATTAGTGTCCATATCCATTTAGAAGTCAAACTTTGGCTGGAGAGGTGTCTCAGATGTTAAGAGCACTGGCTGCTCTTCAAGAGGACGTGAGTTCAATTCCAAGCAACCACATGGTGGCTCACAACCATCTGTTATGTGATTTGGTGCACTCTTCTGATGTGCAGATATACATGGAAGCAGAATGTTGTATGCATAATAAATGAATAGAATCTACAAAAAAGAAGTCAAACTTTGCAGGATCAGTCATTATGCGTTGGTCCTGCAAAGTAGAATCAAATTTAAGGACATCAGTTCTTAGTATATGGTTACAGTTCAGCATAGATGCAGGTAGCTATGTTTGGCAGAGTTAGGAACCCAGTGAGGAGACTGAGATTTCATTGCATGAAGCAATGAGGATTGAGACTGTTGTTCTTGTTTTCTTTGCTCTTCTGATGACCTTCCAGCTAGTTTTTAAATAATTCATACACACAGAGGTTTATTCTTATAAATGGACGGCCTTATATTGGCTTATTTCTAGCCAGCATTTCTTAACTTAAATTATCCTCTAAGCCTTTTGCATCTGGCCTTTTATCTTTCTCTATTCTTTATACCGTTCTTTATTTCTTAGTCCATGGCTTTCAGTGTATCTGAGTGGTTGCCTGTTGGTTTCCTCTGCTATTCTTGTGCCTTCCTTTTATACTCCCAGGTTTCTCCTCCCCTTTCTCCTCTCTTTCTGCCAACATTACTTTTCCTTTCCTCTCAAGATATTGGGCCTTGCGTTTTTATCACACCAACAGGTATTTTAGTCAACAGAAGAATCACAGATTCACTAAACAAATGCAGCATACACAAAAGCAACACATCTTAACATAATATTCAACAGTTCCCTGTTCTCATTTACATCAAAAGAAATGTTTCAACTTTAATATACTAAAACTATATACAACATCAAAATTTTTTACAACATCAACATTTATCAAGTAAGAATTTGTATGCATTTTGTAAATTCAGAGAAAATAATATATTTCCTAACTTACCTTAGTGAACTCACAGTTCTATTAAAACACTTCTTTAAAAAACTAAAGAAAAACTGCAGCTATAATGTCTAGTCTTCAATTCCACCAAAGACCAAAGAAGGAATTATTACTACCTAAGTAAAGAGGCAGTGCATTGCCAGCAATTTCCAAATTGACAAATGACAAAGACACCTGACTTCCTGGACACTCACCAAAAAGGTTTCTGCGACATGGGGCATCCATCTTTAGTCTACAAGAATACTGTATCTCTCAGATATTTCAGTGAAGCAGGAAAGTTGAAAGAAAGCTCTGCCTTGTATTGGCAAATTCCATCATTTGCTTTGTATCCAGCATAAAACTAACATATCTTAAAAAATAATGTTCTATAGAAACACACATTTACAATATGGTCAGTATTTTGCTTTAAGTTGCATACATGTATGTGATATTTTAGAATGCCATGAAGTATAAAGATGTGCATATTGACTTCACTTGGGAAGAGTGGACTTTGCTGGATACTTCTCAGAAGAAACTCTACAAAGACGTGATGCTGGAAACCTATAAGAACCTCAATGATATAGGTAAGAGTGTATTTTCCTTAGTATTTTAAAGTAATAGGACAACTCTTAATTGGTTATTGATGCTCTTCTTTAAATTGATTAAGATAGTAAAAGAAGGTAATAAATCAAAGTTCTACAGTTTAGTGGAGACAGTAACATAATTTTTTACACAGTTTTCAATAACATACTATCCATTTCACTCTGTTTTAGGATACATTTGGGAAGACCATAAAATTCAAGAACATTGTGCGAGTTCTAAAAGACATGAAAGGTAATTTGCATTTACCAGCTCATAGAAATGTATCCCTGAAGAGAGAGAAATGTGTCCTGAAGTTTGAAACAGAACCAACAGTGTAATTAAGCACAGATTAATTTGCATTGATGATTTTTAAATTCTCACAAGACAATATAACTCAATTTCATGTAGGTGAACTGCATTTGCATGACAATATTTTAAGAAAGAAAGCAAGGAAACAATGACTTCAGAGAAATTACCACTTGAATCATTACACCATGAGCACTATGCTGTAGAATTCTAAATCCACTTATTTCATAGTACCTATATTACCAAAGTAATACACATGATTGACTTGATAAGCATATCTCCAAACCTTCCTTTAAACAAATACTCTATAGAAAAGTTAGTTATTTTCTTGTACTTCCTGTTACTTTTGTATATTTAGTGATAGGACCAATTATTGTCAAGTGTCAAACGTCAGTTTTTTCAGGGAAAGCATAATCTCTCTAACACATGTCTATACAGAACAGAAAGTCAAACTGAATGAAAAAGGAAGCCTCTTCTTGGTAATCTTTGCATTATTAGGTATATCATGTATTAGGCAGGATACAAACCATGTCAGCAAAGGGATATGTATAGCATGGTATACCTCTCTTGAAGAATATTAAAAAGTCATGTAGGAGTACCCATTTTGATTCAAATGTACAAATAATTTGTTTTCCAGCTTCATTGACAATACACCAACAAGCTTAGTCTACAGAAAACCACTGATACTCTATGAGTGTAGGAATGTGTAAATACTGTTTTCTCTAGTTCATTAGCAAATGTAGTATGACTCATAGTGTAGGAAAATTTAAAAACACTATAAAGTTGATAAAGTAATGAACTTTTCCAGTTATCTTCAATATATGAAAAAATCTCCTGTGGAAAAAGGTTCTAAAGTTAGTATTAGAGCTTCACAGGTATGTTCAGAGATGTAAAACACCCATAAAAGACTGGGAAAACATGAGTGTAAGTGCAGAGATAAGACTAACATCTTATTCTTTTTATCACTTGAAAAAGTGTAATATTAATTTATAGACATATCAAGATTCAATAATGTATTGAATATAGTAAAACATTTACATATGCCCATTTTCCATGCAGGCATGAACGAAGCCAAACTAGAGACAAGCCTTCTGAATATAAACAATGTGTTAAAGTCTTTGCTTATAACAGTCCCCTTCGAAGGCATAAAAGAACGCATACTGAAGACAAACCCTATGAATGCAATCAGTGCAGTAAAGCCTTTGCATATCAATGTCGTCTTGCAACACACAAAAGAACACACACTGGAGAGAAACCATATGAATGTAATCAGTGTGGTAAAGCCTTTGCTCATCATGGTACTCTTCAAATACATAAAAGAACACACACTGGAGAGAAACCCTATGAATGTAATCATTGTGATAAAGCCTTTGCTGATCCCAGTGCTTTTAATCGGCATAAAAGAACACATACTGGAGAGAAACCCTATGAATGTAATCAGTGTGGTAAAGCCTTTTATCAGTACAGTGATCTTCAAACACATATAAGGACACATACTGGAGACAAACCCTATGAATGTCTTCATTGTGGTAAAGCCTTTGCTGATCCCAGTGCTCTTCGTCAGCATAAAAGGACACATACTGGAGAGAAACCCTATGAATGTAATCGTTGTGGTAAAGCCTTTGCTGATCCCAGTGCTCTTCGTCAGCATAAAAGGACACATACTGGAGAGAAACCCTATGAATGTAATCAGTG